AAAAAAAATTAAACGGGAAAAGGCCTCGCCCCGTCCTGTTGTCATCCCTAATTAGAGTATTGCATGGATTAGAAACTTAACAATAGGTTAGTCCCGGCTCTATATGTTTTATCCGATTTGATCTACTTTACACCTTTATGATCACGTTGAGTCTCGTTCTTAAGATCAAAGCCAACACGGCTTATTATATCAATGAAAATGGGGCATTTATTAAAAAACTTTCCTTTATGTCTTTTCCCCATTATAAGAATGCATTGATGCTAACAGTGATAATTTATATGGGGTGACTCTGACACTGGCACATTGCATTGATCTACTTTACCAAAGTAGCCGAGTAAATAATTGCGCATTTTACCCAAATATTCCCAAATTTCTCTATAAAATATGCTTCAAGATGTGGAGCAAAGAAGAAAGAACGTAGAAAAATGGCTTCTTCCACAAACCAACCTCTCATATACGCTCCAAAGAAAACCTCAGTTGGCTGCAAAATCCTCATCTACTCTGTAATTGCAACATTTGTTGTAATTTTTTCAGCTGCTTTCCTTGTCCCAAATTTGATTACAAGAAGCCAAAATGATGTTTTATACTTGTGCAGGACAGCCTTTGATCCTGAGAAATGTGAAAATCTTGTCTATGAAGTAATCTCCAACAGAGAAAAAGGAGAAAAATCCATCGAGAGCATTGATATTCTGCAGGAATTCTTGAAGAAGTATGCTCATCATATGGATAATGCAGTTGTAGTTAGTAGAAAACTTAGGAATCAGATCAATGATGAATATGAGCAGAGGGCTCTAGCTGATTGCTTGGAGCTGATGGATCTGTCAATTGATCAAGTGAAAGATTCTATGGTGGTTTTGGAGAATCGAACAAGACTATCACGTTCCAACGCACAAACATGGCTTAGTGGGGTGCTTACTAATCATGTAACCTGCCTAGACGGTCTTAAAGTTTCAGGCAAAACGTCGATTGGAGTGATTCTTGAAGACTTGATATCCAGGGCCAGGGCAGCTTTAGCAATGTCGGTATTAGAACCCAGCAGGGAAATGTTGTCTCGAAGGCTGTTGCCATCATGGATCGAGCCGGGGGACAGGAAACTGTTGCAGAGTTCGGCCAAGGATATTAAGGCTGATCTAATTGTGGCTAAAGATGGTACGGGGAACTACAAGAAAGTAGCGGATGCTGTTGCCGCAGTCCCGGACAATAGCAAGAAGAGGTATGTGATATATGTAAAGAAGGGAACATATAAGGAGAACGTAGAAGTGGGAAAGAAGAAAAAGAAGCTGATGATTGTTGGTGATGGAATGGAAACCACCATTATTACTGGTAGCCTTAATGTTGTTGATGGTTCCACAACCTTCAAATCTGCCACTCTAGGTGAGTACCATAGACAAAATCGGTTAAAAGTTTGAGAATAGTAATAATAATAATAATAATAAATTAAGTAGATTAAAGATCATTACGGAGATGTTATTAATTTCGATAATCACCCTGATAATCAACAACAATATTGTTATGACATTGCCGACAATCATTTTTGGCGATTCAATCACTATTTGCTATCGGCGACGAAGATTTCATCGGTAACCGCAACACTATTAACATGTGTTGTAATTACCGACAAACCTCTTTCAATTATCATCGGCAATAACATTGTCTATGATGTTGCAGCAATCATCGATGGTACTTAGATTGCTAGTATCCACCAGTGTTGCAAATGAATGTTTTATATAGATCTCAACAAGGACAATATTATAAATTGCTTGTCAAATACATTATTTTACCTTTCAATTCAGAATTTTGTAATTTTGTCTTGAATTAACCACCATTCATGCAACTTGTGCAGCCGCAGTCGGTGAGGGATTCATTTTACAAGACATCTGCATACAAAACACAGCCGGACCAGAAAAGCACCAGGCAGTGGCGCTTCGCGTCGGTGCAGATCAATCCGTCATAAATCGTTGCAAAATTGATGCCTACCAGGATACTTTATACGCACATTCTCTAAGACAATTCTACAGAGATTCCTACATCACAGGAACAGTAGATTTCATCTTTGGCAATGCAGCGGTAGTTTTCCAAAACTGCAAACTCGTGGCTCGTAAACCCATGAAAAGCCAAAAGAATATGGTGACTGCCCAGGGCAGAATCGACCCGAATCAGAACACAGGGACATCAATCCAGGATTGTGAAATCATACCAAGTGCAGATCTAGAGTCGGCGAAAAGTTCATTCCCGACGTATCTTGGTCGTCCATGGAAGGAGTACTCGAGAACTGTCGTGATGCAATCGAACATTTCAGATCATATTGATCCGGCAGGTTGGGCTGAATGGAATGGGGATTTTGCTTTGAAAACTTTGTATTATGGGGAGTATATGAATGGAGGAGCAGGTGCAGGGACTAGCAAGAGAGTGAATTGGCCGGGGTATCATGTGATTACTGACCCCGCTGAAGCAACGAAATTTACTGTGAAAGAGATGATACAAGGCGGAGAGTGGCTGAGTTCTACTGGAGTGGCTTTCACTGAAGGATTATAAGTGCTTTTAAAAAAAATATATATTATGTTTTAGTTTAAGCTACTTTTAAGCACGAATAAACTGAACTAAGTTGTCCTACTTGCATCGAGTTGCTGCCTTAGCGTACTTGTAACATTTATGTGACAATAAAAGTTAGTAGTTTAGGTCCTTAGGATCCGTTCTACAAAATTTGTTCTTGTGGAAAAGTTTTCTTATTAAACTATTTTAATTAGTGTTCGAAAATTAATTTCTAAACAAAACGTTCACTACCAGAAGAGCAGAAGAGCTTTTAAAAGAAGTTACATCGATTCATTTTTTTCTAAAAGATCTTCTAATTAAAAGAAGTACTTTTATAAAATTAATTAAACTAGTTCAAAAAGAGTAGCTTTTGAATTTTAAAATCTCATTTTGACTCCTCAAACCAAGCCAAATGAACCCTTATTCTATTCAAGTTCAATTATTTTTTATTTATTTTTTTTCAAAAAATAGAGGGATGTTTATTAATTTGCTGAAGAAAAAACATATACCCCTGCCCCTGCCATAGTCCAAAGTCGATGGAACAATACATAACTCCTAATTTTAAAAATTATATTTCATAAATAACAAACTCATTAAAATATTTCAAAAATCAGGTGGTAACTAAATTTATTAAATATTAAAATGTAATATAATATACATTAATTATTTATATTCTATGCCACCTCACCTACCACATCTTATCACCCTACACACCACCTTCCTTCCACCTCTCCACCGGAAACGGCCATCAGCTCCGACAATCACTCCGGTGACTTTTCCGGCGGTTGCTCCGGTGACTCAAAGACTTCCAGAAAATTAAAACTTGAAAATCACACCCCCACCCCCATGGATCCACCTACCACCACATCATCCCTGCCTCCACCTCCTAAAAAATTACCGAAAAAAAAAATTATGTTCAGTGTGACTGCATGTGACTAATTGTGACTAAGTGTGTATTCAATGTGACTAACTGTGACTAAATTTGTGTTGAATGTGACTGTCTGTGACCAGGTCAATCTCAAGTCACAATCAATACAAAATCGGTTACAATCAAACAATTGGGCAATACCACCACCTCAACTAACCTTACCACCAACACAATCCCCACAACTCTAANACCTCACCTACCACATCCTATCACCATACTACACTACCTTCCCTCCACCTCTCCACGGGTGAAGGTCATCAGCTCCGACGATCACTTCGGCGGCCGCTCCAACGAGTCAAAGATTTCTAGAAAATTAAAAATTGAAAATCACATCCCTACCCCATGGATCCACCTATCACCACCCCATCCTTGCCACCACCTCCTAAAAAATTGTCGAAAAAAAATTTGTGTTCAGTGTGCCTGTATGTGACCAATTGAATCTTACTGTCTATGATCAAGTCACAATTAACACAAAATTCGTCACAACTAGTCATAGTACACACATATTTGATCACATAAAGTTATCAAAAAATCAAATCTACTGGGTAGATCGATAGAAAATAATTGATTTTTGTTGTTTTGTACTAAATTTTTTTCTACCGCCATCAACCACCACAACCCACATCACCACCACTGTTTCCAAACCACCGTTGCATCTTCAATAACAACCACCATCGCCATCTCTACAATGAGAATATCTACGAAGAGGAAGGCCAAAGCAGATCATAAACACTCGTCCTACACTCCACTCGCCACCGACACCGACGCCGCTACGAACACTACAAACCCACCCGGCATCACAACCACACACAAATCACAAAACTAAAATCGCCGAAAAACCCTAGCAGCGAAGCTCATCACCCAAAACCACAAACTACAGACATCACCGGTGCTCAACTACAAATCACAACCCACAGTTCGACATCTCCGTCAACATAACCTCGACGTTGCGCAAATCGAGAAGCGACCTTGCGTGCGGTGGCCCTTCGTGAGGTTGTTTGAAGTAACACTGCCCTTCGACGTCTCAGAGTGACGGGCTGCAACAGACGCCGCTCGGTGGTGGTGGCATCGAGCATGGTGGTGGTTCCTTCTTCACAACGTTCGCATGGTGGTTGTCGCGGCGTTGCTTCTTCAGAATGACACCGCTCGATGGTAGCTCCTTGGGCACGGTGGTGGTAGCATCTTGTCCGACGGTGGTGGCAGTAGCGTAGACGGAACCGACGATGCTACTCCACGGTGGCTGCCGGTGGAAACCACATCCAGAGTGCGTGCAGCGACGCTCGCCGTTGTGGTCGATTTTGCTCCGCCGTGCGTAGCTACGCTAGAAATGGAGTCGGGTTGGATGAACGGCGGGTGGGTGGGTGAGAAGAGATGAGAGAGAGAATGGTGGTGGGATTTTGAAATGAATGGTATGGGGTGGGGGTTAGGTAAATATGTAGAGATTAGGTTTAATTAAATTTTTATTAATTATAATTATTAAAACTCCTGTTTTTTTTAAATGAAACTTTAAAAGAAGGTTTCTAGGTAAT